TGCCTTCAATATTGTCTTGGTAACTGGACTGTAATTCCTGATTTATTTGATATTCAGTAACACTAACTACATCTGGAATATCATCTGGAGAAGTTTGAATATCTTGTGAGCTAATTCCATGTGTTACTGAAGATTCTTCACCTGTAGTATGAATTTTAATATCCATTGCTTCTGAAAGTCTTTCGCTTATTTTTTCTAGTGTATCCTCACTACCAGACTGTATCAATACCTCAATAGATTCTGATGGATCTTCATATCCACTTCTCACTGGGTCTTGATGAAAAATTTGCTCAATATTCTCTTCTAAAACAGCACTTGAGCATTCAGTAGTCTGGGCAACTTGTAGAACAGATGGTGGTGAAATCATGACAAAACCTCCACCCCCTGATGTTTCTTCATTGTCTGATGTGCCTTCAGGGGATTCCCTTCCACCTTTATCAACAGCAAGCGGGTTAACTTTATCTGAATCACAAGCAAAGCCCTCATTCTGACATTGTGCACTCTCCTTTCTTGGAGAACCTAAAGGTGTTACACTTGGAGTGGATGTCTTCCTATGCAGCTTTTTAAGTTCCCTAAAACAAGAAAAGAAGAAAAATATAAAGATACATGTAAATATGGATTTTTCCTGGTTGTGACTTTCATGATCTACTCAACTCTTACAAACTTACATATAATTATGGAATGAAAAATCTGTATTTGTCAGATCTGAGAGTTCAGTTTCAATGACCATAGAATAATAAATAAAATAAAATAGACATGTCTTACAATGCAAAATGTGTAGGTAATCTGTGAAAAGTAAATCTTATACTCATTCTTATAATACGCAACATGACAGTGTCAGTAATTTATTGATTGTTCTATACAACCCATCCCTCAATGAAAAAGGTCCATATTTAAAGGATCTGTAACTGACATTGTTTTAATGTACCTAAACACAGTACGTAATACTTTGGTGAGGCACAATGCAACTAATTGTGTTCCTGAGGTTTCCCCAAGTATTCAATGTAGGCAAAACAGGCCAAGTTTTGGAAAATAAATAAATGAATAAATGAGAATAAATGTGATGTTAGGTATGCCAGAGAATTGGATGGATGTTTCATTAATTTATGCAATAAAGGTCACCAGCTTAACTGGATAGACACTACATTAATTTATAAGTCATCAAATTCTTATGAAAGAAAAATGCCAGAAGCTCTCCTAATTACAAAAATGCTTAAACCAATATCAGTGACTTTATGTAATATCCCATGTAGACTATTGTGAATACTGTTACATACAGATGGCTCCACATGTGCTCAGCCACCAAGGAATCTATCAGATGGGCCTAGTGACCGTGCATGATTTCCACATTCCTTGAACTTGTGGGAAAAATGTGTTTTTCTTCCTAATACTATTAATAATGACATTGTTATCATTGTTATTCATATCATGAATATTAAACTGTTATTAAAATTTCAATTATATTAACCCAATAATGACAGGCATGACGTGTACGTAGTGCTATGCCCACATAGATGGCTACACTTGAATCAAGTCACCAATGAGTCAGTTACGAGTACTGCCAGTCTCGCCTGTTTACCCTTTTCTTTGATTTACAAAAATATTTCATGCTATCTTATTTTCCTGTTACCAATGTTTATAACATTATAGTAATTATGTTTATAATAAAAATAACACCATCGATATTCATAGCACTAGTAATAAATATGTTTTTCCTGCCAATTCAAATCACGTAAGGTGACAAGTTCTAATAAGTGACTCCTTTGCTGCTAAGCACTAGCAGAGCCATCCATGTGCAGAGACATTTCACAAGAACGTAGAAAATACACACAGCATTTTCCCCAATTTTTAGTCATTTTCCCCAGTAGTATTGGATTAAAGACAATAAAATAATTTAAATGAAGCTTTCAAAAAATCAAGGAAAAGGGTAAACAGGTGAGATAGGTAAGACTAATAACTGACCCCTTGGTGACTAAGCACTTGTAGAGCCATCTATGTGTAAAGAGATCAGATGAACTTTATGACAGTGGGCATGGCATTGTAGCCACTTGCACTATTTGGCCTAATTTCAACTTGAGTGCTGGTTAATGGGGGTTTAGACCTTACTTCATCTTTAGTAAGGGAAGCCTTCCTTCTTGCTTAACCCATTTACGCCGGGCGTCACGTATACGTGACGGGCCCACTGTGAGTTTACTTGTTTGATTGTTTAATAACATAGATGGCTCCACTTGCACTTGTACTGCCTGTCTCGTCTGTTTACCCTTTTCTTTAGTTTACAAAATTATTTTGCGTTATCTTATTTTGCTGTTACTAATGTTTATAACATTATAGTAATTATAATGTTTATAATAAAAATAACCATCGGTATTCATAGCACTAGTAAAAATACATTTACCCGCCAAATGAAATCCGGTAAAGCAGAGCCATCTAGTGTAGAGAAATTTCATTAAAAAGTCTAAAAAATGAGCACAGCATTTCCCCCATTTTTTGTTCATTTTTACCCGGCGTGAATGGGTTAACTTGTATCTCTAACACTACATAATCTTGTAAAATTTCTCTTTTCCTATCAATTTCAATTATATATATCTCTCTGATGAGGAACTCTTCAACAGATTGAAAATTATATATATATATATATATATATATATATATATATATATATATATATATATATATATATATATATTATATATATATATATATATAAATATATATATATATATATATATACATATATATATACATATATATATATATGTCAGGGTAGAGACTGCAATCGGGTAGAATCAGAGATTCTACCAGTAGAGACTCCAATCGGAGTTTCTACCAGTAGAGTCTCTGATTGCAGTTTCTACTGGTAGAATCTCAGATTCTACCCGTAGAGACGCCGATCAGAGTTTCTACTGATTGAGTCTCTGATTCTGTATTGTATTGTATTGTATTGTAGACTTTTCTTTTGCATAAAAAAACTGAACAAAATCACATTGACTATCTGATAAATCAATTTAGTTGTCTTTTAATACAATACTACAGAGGACTAGTATGCAGTGCAAACTTAGCTAGACATTGATCATCAAATAAAAATGGTTAAATCAATTTAGTTGTCTTTTAACACAATACTACAGAGGACTAGTATGCAGTGCAAATTTAGCTAGACATTGATCATCAAATAAAAATGGTTATTTGGATTAGAGACTCTACCAGTAGAAACTCTGATTGGAATCTCTACTGGTAGAATCTCAAATTCTACAAGTAGAGACTGCAATCGGAGACTCTACTGGTAGAAACTCCGATCGGAGTCTCTACTGGTAGAATCTCTGATTGTACCAGATTGCAGTCTCTACCCTGACATATATATATATATATATATATTATATATATATATATATATATATATATATATATATATATATATATATATATATATATATATACATATAAATACATATAAACACATATAAATACATATATACATATATATACATATATACATATATATACATATATATACATATATATACATATATATATATATATACACACACATATATATACATATATACATATATATATATATATATATATATATATATATATATATATATATATATATATATATATATATATATACATATATATGTATGTATGTATATGTATATATATGTATATATGTATATATGTATATATATGTATATGTATATGTGTATATGTATATACATATGTATATATGTATATGCATATGAATATATATATACAAATTAAACAGCCATTCATTTCAATGCAGGACATAGGCTTCTCTCAGTTCACTATGAGAGGTTATATGATAGTGTCACCCTTGCCCGATTGAATGCCCTTCCTAATTAACCACGGTTTGGCATGCTAACACTTCTGCAACAGCGGTGACTTCCCATACGACACCTGTATTTGACTTCTCAAGGCGATATGTCGCTTTCCCGGGCTCGAGCCCGCAGTCAGAGTGCAGGCATTTTTACGAATCGCCGTGATGGGGAATTGAACCACCAGGGTCAGAGTTCAGTGCTCTAACCACTGGACCATCACAGCAATCATATGTATATACATACATGAGTGTATATATATATATTATATATATCATACACACACACACACATTATTTATATATATATATGTGTATATATATAATATATATATATATATATATATATATATATATATATATATATATATATATATATATATATATATATATATATATATATAATATATATATATATATATATATATATATATATATATATATATATATATATATATATATATATACATATATATAAACATATATATAAACATATATATAAACATATATATAAACATATATATAAACATATATATAAACATATATATATATATATATATATATATATATATATATATATATATATATGTATGTATGTATGTATATATGTATATATATATACAGATAGTCCCCTACTTAAGAACATTCTACCTATGAACATTCCATACATACAAACAAATTTTTTTAAGTAAAGTCCAAAAAATTGTTTGAAAGATGCTAGCAAACTTCAAATTTCCCGGGCACGAATATAGTTCAAGAGTCTGGTACTGTATAAGGTATGTTGTACTTATTGGGATTTATTTACAGGTATTCTTAATGTAAAAAGAACTTTAAAATAATGGGAAAAAAGGTAATGGAGACCCAACTTGCGACATACAAACATATCAACTTACAAACAGTCTCTCAGTCCACATTATGTTCTTAAATTTGGGACTTACTGTATATGTATATGTATATGTATATGTATATGTATATATATATATATATATATATATATATATATATATATATATATATATATATATATATATATAAAAACATATATATACACACACATACAACTCGGACCCTCGTGGCCCTGAGTTCAATTCCCTGTCACGGCAGTTGTAAAAATGCCTGCGCTCTGACTGCTAGCTTGAGCCCAAGAAAACAACATATCACCTTGAGAAGTCAAACGCAGGTGTCGTAGGGGAAGTCACTGCTATGGAACAAGTGTTATCATGCCAAACCATTAGGAAGGGCATCCAATCAAGCAAGGGTGGCGTTTGACTTCTCAAGCCGATATGTCATTCTCTCAGGCTCAAACCAGCAGTCAGAATGCAGGCATTTTTACGACAGCCGCGACGGGGAATTGAACCCGGGACCATGAGGGTAGGAGTCCAGTGCTCTAACCACTGAGCTATCGCTGCAGTCAAATTTTCAACAGCCATTCATTCCACTGCAGGACATAGGCCTTTCTCAATTCAGTATTGAGAGGTTATAAGGCGGTATCACCCTTGCCTGATTGAATGCCCTTCCTAATCAACCGCGGTTCAGTGTGCTAACACTTGTGCCACGGCGGTGACTTCCCCTATGACACCTGCGTTTGACTTCTCAAGCCGATATGTGCTCTAACCACTGAGCTATCGTGGCAGTCATGTATATATATATATATATATATATATATATATATATATATATATATATATATATATATATATATATATATATATATATATATATATATATATGCTGCAA